GATGATCATCAAATAATATCACATGGTTATTTAGTTTGATCGATTAGATTCAATTACCTTTTATACAAATTTATTGAACGTATATCATTTTCCCAAGTTTAAAGGCTGACAAAAGAATACTTCAATCATGGAATTGGCTAAATCAATGTTAAAGATTGAAAAGCCAACGCCCATTGGAACTCGAAAAAACCATTGCCACCTTTGGAGAACCATAGTAATTAAACATCATAATCTAAAGTGAAGTACTAAAGGAATACATGTAACAAAGGTCCATATTTCATGAGTGTTTCCAAAATGTACATAAATGCTTGTGGTCCATAAAAATATCACCTTGGTTTGAAGAGAGTGGCCGTGGGGCCGCACACGAATTGAAGAAGACAACACATTAGTTTAACCTAAAAGACGAGGGAAAAAATGTAAAAATAAAAACAAGCAACTAAGTTTAACGTAAATCAACGTTAGAGATTATTTTTTACTTTGTACAATGATTGGTGGACAATGAACATTAAAATAAAATATTATTATATTTACTTTAGTATTTTTTTTAATACTCCCTTTAATATTATATATAAGTAAAAGTTATTTATTTTTTTTATATTAAAATATAAGCAAATTTTAATAAAAACAAACTTATTTAATATTTTTAATCCAAAAATATTTATATGATATTAAATGAGAGCGCTATCTATCGTAAATATAGTTAAGGATATTTCAAACAATATAATATATATTTTATGTAAAGTTGTGAAAATTAAATATATTTAATAAGTAGTTAAACTATTGATTTGAATACTCAGTAACTATAGTCAAGGTGTTAGCATATAATTAAACGATCTCATAATGATTATGTCTTGAGATGTATCAAATAATGTTGTGTAATTGTTATGTTTAAACCACAAACATGCATAATTATTATATATTAATTAATATTGATAACTACTCGTGGTATGTGAGTATGCTATAAATATGATTGTGAGTTATGTATGAGTTGTAGTGATGTGATTTCTTATGTAAATATTTAATTGTTATATTTGAATTATTAACTATTATATTGAGATCATTTGACAATGATATGATATGATAAAATATGTGTTTAGTGAATTAAATGAATGTCGAGTGAATATCTTTTATAAATTGATTAAGATGAATTAAATAAGTTAAAGATGGTTATATTTAGTGGGTATTGGATAATATTTTTTCAAAACATAATTAGATGCAATAATATTTTTCAATTTCCTAAAAAAAGAGAATGTTTTACAATTTTTTTTGTTTTATATATTTGAATGTTATTTCCAATACATCAATTTAAACAATTTTTTTTATTAAAGAAAACCATACATTTTGAAACGATTAAGACATACTTTTTAATGGATAAAAATTAAAATAAACTAAGGAGTTAATTAAAATTTCAAAATAAAATAATGAAATATATATAGGAAACATTCTGATTAGGGAAACAACACTTTTCTCCCTTGATGCTAGAAAATCAACAATGATGTATTTTAAATATAAAGAGAAATAGGAAGAAAAAAAATAGTTTTCTAAAATTCACAATTATTAGTACTCTTCTTATTTTACGATGGTTGCATTTTAAATTTTTTTTACACAAATTAAAGACAATAACAAATATATCACTTTTTAATATAATTTTATTAAAATAATTTAATCTCTTAATAAATATATTACTTTTAATTGTAATGATTAAATAATTTATGAAAGAATAAATTAAAAAATATAATTAATATTATATTGAAAAGTGAAAACATCCGTTATTTTTTAAATGTTAAAACTAAATTATTATTAGATAGTGGGAGTATTTAATAAATTTATCTTATGTATTTTGATTATACATTTTGAAAATTTTAAACGATTTACCTAAAACCAAGGAAGTGAAATAAATATAAAGTTGGAAGGAAAAAAGAAATTAAATTGAATTGAATGGGGTAGGATGGATGTGATAATAATTAAATTTTGGGATGCATACATTAGTTAAGTGAGGTCCATCATCATCTTGTGCTTGCACGGTCATGTTGCAGCCATTATCCAGTTGTGGTGATATGTTATTGTCATCACTGCCAATTCCTTCTAACTACCATTATTAATATGCATTCTTTCCACTAAATAACTCTTTTAATTCACTAAATTTCAGATGTATTAATAGTTAAATTTTATATTTATTCATATTTAAGTGAGGTTATATTAAATAATATAATATTTTATTTTATTTTTAAATATAAATAATATTTTTATTAACAAAATAAATATTAATTACTCATAAAAGTATATATAAATAAAATGTTTTATATATTATTTTTCAATTTTTTATTTTTATGTTAGTTTAAACTTGAATAGTGACAGATGATTAAACAACATCAAAGTTTAACGAACAATAATGTTAAATTGACAGTAAAATCAAAATTATTTTAAAAATAAGAGACTAAATATCCGTATTTAAAAATAAATAAACTAAAATTACTAAAAATATAACTTAATCTTTATTTTAAGATATTTAAATAAAAAAAATATCTTTAAAATTTAAAATATTTTAAAGGTATCACGTGATAAAATTATAACATAAACACCAGTAATGTTACAGGTGGTCACTTGACATCACACGACAATAAAGACCAAAAACAATTATTTTAATCCTTTTAGACATAAAAATCAAATAATTTTTTGTACAACATTAAAATAAACACTCTCTTATTTTATAGAGACTAAATATATATAAACAAACATAATAAATAACTTCATGATATTATATTATTTTTATTGATTGCTGAAAAACTGATGCGCATTGTATTTATAAAAACATTATATCGATTTTTTTAGAATAAAATTGAAATAGTTTTTAATATTTTTGATGAAAATATAAAATAACAATTAAGGTGATCTTTTGTGTGGAAAAATCTCATTCATGAACAAGAGAAAATAATTTAAATATATTTACTTTACAGCTAAATATCAACTCAAATTATATAAGCTAGTTTGTTCTTGTTTTTCTGTTTCTTTTGGTTTTCTAATGATATCATTCTTTGATTAGTTGATTTAAAGCATGGTCGAGCACTAAAATAAGTACTTTCTTTAACGAAATTTTGGTGCACCTTATTATAAAAAAGTAGCCATTTGGCTAGACTTTATCCCAATTGGTTCACAAACTTCTCTGTTGCAGACTAGAGAAATATTGGATAAAACAATGAGCAAAATTATGATTGAAAACTTAAGGTATGAATTATGTTTTATTTTGAAAAATGTCATGTTCAGTTGTTTAGAAAAGGTAAAAAAAAAAAAAAAAGTGATTAATTATATATGAAAAAAATGTTTGCGAATATATATGTAATAAGTTGGGCATTTGTAACTAAAACGAGGAACCAGGGGGCAGAAGTATCTTTTTGTTTGTGAAGTGTTTGGGACCCCATTATCAGATAGGAATATAAATTATAATGCCTTTACCTTAACAAAAATGTTACTACTACGTTATCAAAACTTCTCATCAACTAACCCACACGAATTAAACGTGTTACATTGTAAACACCTGAATTTTCGTAAATAAATTGGTGTACAAAACTCGTATTGCTTAGCTTAGCGCTTCTCTTATCTTGAAGAATTTGGCCCTCATAATAATACAAACCCACAAAACACAAAGTCATTATTGTTTGGTACTAAAACTGCTACATGTCGTTAATAATTAAATTCATAATAATACTAACATTTTTCTCACTTTTATCCATTTATAAATTGTTTTATAAAGAACCTTATTAAATGACAACTCTTCTTCAGAAGTCAGAATTATAAATTTAAGCTATCAATCACACATTAATGTTCAAAATTAAAATTTTGTTCGTGGTTATATAACTACTTAACGGGGGAATATAGTTTAAAGTCAGAATAGTTTAGGATTTTCATGTTTTTTTTTTGTCCTTAAAAGAATTTAAATAGTAAAATAGGAATAGTAATCTCACTTTATCCTTCACTTGCACCCTTTTACATGAAAAATTCTCAATTAATTTGATATTTCTATTTTTCTTTAATTAATGAGCAGGATTTGATCCTGACTTGAGTATAAAATCGGTGTAAAAAATATCACTTTATGTTTATAGAAATGGATCCACTAGGGTAACTCTATCCTATTAAAGAAAAAAAAAAAAAAAAAACCAGCGTCCTCTTGCTTTTCCATCCTCCTCCCTCGCGGCCTTTACCTGCATTTTATATTAACTGATTTTGGTAATGTATAAAAATATAACCACATAACAAAAATTAATTTTCATGATGAATCAAATCTTTCCAACAATATATTTTGGAAAATTGTTTTGGAGAAGGGTAATTTTGTTATAAAAAAAAAGGGGTGCAATGAGGAAAACGCGACAAGAAGACCATACAAGCCAACTCAAGTGGAGTTGATAGGAGTACCTTTGGTGAATCGTCCAAATTTGCCTGATACCATGGTAGATGTGTGCATGCAGAGATACACACCATGTACAGTAAAACTGAAATTTTAATAGCTTAGGGTCACATCAACGTATCACGTTGCAATCCTATATTAGCTTTTATGTTCTTCAGGCAGTAGTGAGCTATCTTGATTCGACAGCTATCTTGCAACATATGGCACCACTTATTGTATCAGCATGTATGTCTTATTTGTTCCGATGAAAAAGCCTAAGAACAAATTACAAAACACATTATAAACAGGGTGTACAGAAACTGGCAGCTATGCCTATGATTGAATTTGCCTATTGCATCATAGGACAAGTCACAGGAGCACGTACAACAGTCCTATTTTAACAAATTGTTATCTATTCAATCCAAATTTACCAATTGAAATTGCATTTATACGCATAACTCACTTTTTCCTTTAAACAAATTGATCAGAATACGGTAAAAAATTAAACTCGTTATAAATACTTTAAATTAAATTTAATTTCAGAATTTGCATGGCTCCAAACCAACCACATATAGCTGCGGTGAGGATGGTGTTCACAAGGACTTCGAAACAATACACATATTAACATATACTGACCATAACGAGCCGGGTGGAAGCCATTCCATTTCAATGTTCAAAACTAGTGGATTTTACAGAATAAAATAAACAAGGCAACAAGCTACCATTTTAATAGATTTTTGTTGCTACCACTGTTGTACAACAATTACACAAGAGCAAGAGCTAGACTAAAACAACAGTGACAGATAGGACTTAAAATTAATCCTTTAGGCGTTTGGGCAGGGGAAATGACACTCTTTGATGGGGATTCTGCTGCATGTCTGCCTTTTCTTCCTGAGATGGGTTGGGAATGGTGGCTTCTTCATCCTCTGTTTCTTCTAAAGGTTCCGCAGGCCTCTTGTTTGGAAGTGCAAACTGGTAATTAGGACTGATCAATGTGTCCTGATCAGGTGGAAGTGGGATGCCAGGTCCTGCTATAGTCTTTGGCAATGGTATCTTGTTGCGGTTTTGAGCCAACTCCAATAGCACCTGGCAATTGATTACATTAAACATTATCTTTCAAGATAACATATTATTGCTTAAAGAGAAGAGCAAATGCTATTGGGTCACCAAAGAGACAGATCCTTTCAAGCAACCAAATATTTCCAGATTGCATGATATGGTAACTACCAAAATGAAAATCAGCAAAAGGTTTCTACTTTCTAGATAATTTAGAATGTAAGTGATAACCCCGTCCCACTAATTAAACGTCAATGTCAGCCACAATTCCAAACAAATGACAATTAGAAATTAACAAAAGATTAATTTCTGCAAGCTAGTAATAAAACTGCAACACAGAAGGGTGGGCCTCAGAAAACTAGAGTTTACACAAGGCTTATGTGCAATTTCTTACTTAATCCAGTATGATAATCTAAAAGAAAATTTAATAAAACTGTATAATACAGGTGCTAGTACCATGACTGTCATTATCAAACTGACAAGTTAACTTGTATAATTGTACAGGTTTACAATTCTAAGAAAATTGATTAACTCACTTGAAAACTTGTTCTTGCACAAACTTGGGCAGACTCGAGCAGATTCATTCATAGTATCATAATTCATACACACTTGGTCAGAGTCTAAACCTATATCAAACGCAATGATCAACCCACTTGTGCAAAACCACAGCATTTTAGGTGTCAGGGCCTTAATTTTAATTTTCTGTCATGCATGAGCTGTTCAAGCCTCAAAGAACACACTGTGCTTCCAACGGATCTCAAGCTGGTTAGTGTGAATGAGTTCATGAAATATCTCAGCATGAACCTAGTTCCAACACCATCTCTATCTCACAGTAACAAACTCGGTGCAAATAACCTTCCTCCACAAACCAGTGTCCCAGCTTGAACCCAGTCACAGGCTCAATCTCCATCATACAGCAACAGATTTTGATCCTCTGCAGTTATGGGTGTAACTGCATCAATCTAATTCGTTATTTCTTTATTGCATCATAAATTAATTTTAAATTAAATTTATTATATTTAATGGTGAGATTTACAACTGCACCTTGAGCAGTTTCTTTTGAAACTCTACAGCAACTTTCACACCCCACATGGTGATTTATATTTCATCATTCACCATTTTGTTCTGGCAAATTATCTTTGTCCATCAATTTTGAGTTTACAATAATACAATGTTCTATGTGTCCCTATTACAGAATTTCATCGCTTTGGAACTTGTAAGTTGTAATGTTTAATTTGTATTATTGAAAGAAAACCCCTACAAGTTTTTGAGCCAAGTCTACAAACACTCAACTAGTTTGCACTACACTCATAAGTGAGTTTCACAACCTTCTTTTAGTACAATTATCATGTCCAATAACACTATCAAATTTATCACATGTTAATATCTATGCCAATATATAAAAACAATTTCCTATTTACGTACACATTATTCAAACAACTTTAATTCTTTAAATGAAAATAAAAACTGCAGAATAATAATTAATAAAGGTCACAAAGTCTTTTAATATATAAGTTTTATTCTTGAAACTGTTATTGAATAACAATAACTGCACACTACGCCCACTATTGTGTGTATTCAAACACAAGCACGGAGTACATTTTTTCTCACTAGTTTACATGATTTGGTTACCATTAGCACTTATTAGGACAATCATTGTCCACTTACTATTGGCAACATAAATATTCACGAGCGTGGCCATTGACACACAATTACCAAACCTAACACATACAATGAAAATTTAACTTTAGAAAGTCCTCTGGTGGATTTTACTTGTTACAGTATAGACATCTGTACTTCCTGTATACTAGCCAACCTCTTCCACACTACCTTACCACTTACAAACTTCACTACTATCAGCACACCCAATTAAACCAACAACACATGTTTAGATTTTAACAACAAGGTAGAAAATACAAAAATTGGGGAAAAGGAATGCCTAAACCCAGATATCCCCTAACCAGAAGTCAAGGACTAGTCACTCGAAGTACTAAGATCCATTTAAGAGTTTGACTTTGACTTCTCTCCACATATTTTCCATACGCATGAACTTAGGGTTTGAACTCCTAATTGCACTATTGACTACTTTTGACTTGGAATACATTAATACGCAATTTTTTTGTACATGAAACAAAATTGAACGTTGGAAAGGGATATGAATAATTGGCGAATAGTTAATATTACCTCACGAGGGGGTGGTTGCGAGAAGCTGAAGTTGACCTTGGATTGAATCGCGAGCTTAACATCGTCACAATCGATTGCGGATTTTCCCGCGTGCTCTGAATAGACTTGTGCGTCCGTTAACACATCGACGGCGTAACGATACCATAGCTCTAGAAACTTGTGTATGACGCGAGGCTCGTAATCTTCCACGCCCATTGATTTCAGCAAAGACTTGACGATTTTCGCGTCCCTTGGCATTGACGCCTCTTCGTCTTTGTCACCCATGACTATTTAACGGAGTTATTTTCGAGTGTATTGGAGGCGGCGAAGTGGCCGGAGTCGCCGTGAACGGTGTCGGAGGGAGTTAATTCTCAAACCCGACGCCGACGCTGGTGGGTTCAGAATTTCGAAATGTTGGAGAAAAGAGAAAGACTAATCAGAACGCGAGGGCATGAAAATACTTACTTTTGTTATGGGCCTCGTGGCCCACCATGCTATTAAGCCCAACGGAATCCATAGGTTTATTTTGTTTTATTTAATTATTTAAATAAAAATTAAACATTGATTTTTTTTTGCTTTTATTTTAATAAAAAATATTTTTATTTTATAAATTAATTCCATGTCAATTTTTTATATTATATATTTATATGATTTTCTAGACAAATTCTGAGATAATGAACTTTATTTTAATAATTAAAAATTCACAGAAATTAAATACGAATATTTAAAATAAAAATAAATTGAAATATTAGTTAAAATATAATGAGGGTTAAAGATACAATTAAGTCAATATGTAATGTTATTGATTTTTTAAATTTTTTTTATTATAATTGAAAGAGTAATTATAATATGAGAATAAACTTAATATGTTATTAATGTACTAAAGTTGGCTTAGTGGAATATTTACATGATTTAGATGTCTTAAGCTTATTATAAAAATATAATTTAGTGGAATAAACTTTATTCTTGTTATAATAAAAAAATAACATGTTATAATAGACATTTAATCAAAATGTTATAATACATATATATACAACAAATAAACATATCATAAAAAGAAAATGACACGTTCTTTGAGGACTCTCTTGCCCCCCTTTTGATTTTTAATGGTCTCCTTTCTCTTTCCTTCTTCCTTTAGGTTTTGTTTGGATTTGAAGATGGAAAAGGAGTGTGAAAAAGGAGGGATTTGAAGGGAAAGTGAATGGAAAGTGAGGTTGTTTGGATTAAGGGAAAGTGAGTGGAAAGTGTAGAGAAAATTTGTGAAAGTTTGTGAGTGAATTGATTGATGTGATAGATAAAAATAAAATTTTTAATTGATGATTTTGTATGATTACTATTTTGTCCTTAGGTTAAAAAAAGGTTTATAATTATTATAATTAAAAGATAAATATAAAAATTTTAACTAAAAAAATAAATATAAGATATTAATTTAAAAATAATTTAATTTAAATATTTGCTTTAAATTTAATGATAAATAAAAATTAAAAATTTAATAGATGAATATAAATTTACACTTTTACTCTTGGATTAAAAATGAGTATAATATTATTTATTGTAAATAATAATAATTACAATAAAATTATATTAATAGGTATAATTTATTAAAAAAATAATAAATAATGATAATAATAATAATAAATATTAGAAAAATAATAAGAATCATAATAAATAATAATGATACTAATTATAATAAATAATAATAATATTAATAATAATGATAATAATAATAATATTTATAATAATAAATAATAATAACAAAATATATTATGATAATTATATTTTTTAACATTATTTTATTAATGTTTATGAAAGTGTTATTATTTTAATTTTATAAACATGTATTACTTTATTTTTTGTATATTTCTAGTTTTTGATGTCAATATTTAAATAATAGAATTTTCTTAATATAAAAAAATGTACAATAAAGTCTTTGAAAGTTAATTAATAAATTAAAAAAATTGATAAATCATTGACATAAATTAGAATGAAATGAAGATACATTTGTTAATTGTATAAGTTAATTTTTACCAATTAAAAAATTAAGAAATTTTTAACATTACAAATTTGGGGGTGCATTTTATCCAATTTGGAACGGCCCGTTCTCAACTAATGTTTTTAAGCCAATTTACTAGTTTGGAACGACCCGTTCCAGTTTGGGAACGGCCCGTTCCAGTTTTGGAACGACCCGTTCCAGGATACTAAATTAGCCTTGTTTTAGTATTTTGGAACGGGCCGTTCCAATTTTGGAACGGCCCGTTCTGGAAACGTCTGGAAGCGAAGATATGGCAGCATAATCGATTATGTATGCATACATAATCGATTATGGGTTGGGATAATCGATTATGCTGAGGCATAATCGATTATGCCAGCCCATAATCGATTATGCATGGTGCATAATCGATTATGTTAGCATATTTTTGCTTCAATTTTTCACATTTTTTCAGTTTTTGGGTAGGGTATTATCGGGTTTTTCACAAATCTTACGTGACTTTCATCTCTTTTCTTCGCTTTTGTGCGAGGACGACGCTTCTCTCCCTTTTCTTCGCCTTTCTTTCTTTACAAATTACCGGAAACAAATACTCACTTTCTTCGTCTTTCGTTGCTCGTAAACAGTAAATCACTGGAAACAAACACTACCTTATATATATAGGTTATCAACATATATATGTACCATTGTAATAGTTTAGTTTTTGCAGCGCATTCATGATAATTTAGCTTTTGCAACACATCCATGGTAATTTCCCCCACAATTTCATATTTTGTTCTATACATCTAACATTGTGAAAAAGAAAAAGATATACATAAAATGTTGAGTTGTTCAAAATTCATGTCAAATACTATAAAAAAAAAATGGTGTCAAAGGTTGGACTAGAATTCAAATATTCCGGAGATTTGTTCATGGGTGGGTCTTTTTTTATTTGTTTTTTTATTTTTATTTTTCTTATCTATTTTCAATGGTGATTTTTTTTTTGAGTATATAACCATGCTTGTAATGTTTGGATGAGGGTGGAACAAGAGATGTCGCTAGCGTAATTGATTTTCTTGAACCTACGAACAGAATTTATTAGCATGCTCTATAGGAACATATTTTATTTTGTTTTAATTTTCCACGTTGCATTCATTTTAAGAGTGGTGACATTTAAATTGATTTTGCTTAAAGATATTGTATAAGGTTTATACATGTAAAGAAAAGATTACAATATTTTTTTTTCCTTCAAATTTCTCTATTTAAAACACGAAAAGTTTCATTATGAAAGATTCTTCTTAACATAGCAAAGACTTCCTTAAGTAGAATATAAAAATCAATGATACAAATAACAGGACTTGAATTATTTATAAATAATTCATGTACGATTACTCATGGTCAAATCATCGAGCAGAAATTTGATTCAGAATTCAGAATACTTCTATAAAATACTGCAAATTAAGTGAGATATTGAAACTAATAATTAATGTAAATTAAAAGAGAAAAATGAACTTACTAGTAGTTAGCAGTAATCCAAAGTAGTAAAGTAACATTATCCAAATAAAAAATAGGTAGAGAAAGTCGTCGATGGCATGCGCCACGTGGATGGAACACTGGCTCTCACTCTCACGGTCTCAGTCTCATCTAAGCAACGAAGTTGAGAAAACGGCGGTGAAGGAATCTTGGCGTGTTGTTAAGTGATAAGTGGAGTTGGTTTTGGTTGGGTGAAGTGACGTGGAGATTACGTGCGCTTCCACCATTCTTATGGCTGCGACCTGCGAAAGTTAGTTACCACTACACGCATTTCGATGACGCTCGCCGGACTCTTCCTCACCGCAACCAAGCTCGCCGGAGCTCTCGTCACTCTTTTCGTCGCCGTCAACGCCTTCTCCTACTCCCGTTTCCGCAACAAGAACCTTCGCAAGTTCCGCTCCCCTATCGACGAATCCTCCGACACTCTCGCACTCTTTAACGTCGCCGGTAACTTACAATTAGACACTCTCTCTTATATTAATATCGCGTTTCTCCCTTCCAAAGCTTTGTTCTCATTTTCCGTTCTCTCTATGCCTAACTAATGTAAACGACCTGACGTAAAGTGGCAGTTTAGGTTTACGTCTTCAATTCTGCAGCAACTATATTGTGATTTATGATTGAGTGCGTGGTTTTAATTGTGAATTTAATTAAAAGGCAGAAAAGAGTGTCATTGAATCATCGCAGATAAAATTCATGTTTAGGATAGTTTCTAATTGAACAAATCTTATGATTGAGTGGTCTAATTCATGTTTAGCATATTTTTTAATTGAATGAATCTTATGATTGAGTGGTTTTAATTACGAATTTAATAATGTACAGTAAAGACTGTCGTCGAATCATCGTAATGAAATTCATGTTTTGCATGTTTTTTAATTGAATGAATCTTATGATTGAGTGGTTTTAATTACGAATTTAATTAAAATACAGTAAGGACTGACATGAATCATTGTAGTGATGGTGAAATTCATGTTTAGGATAGTTTTAATTGAACGAATCTTACGATTGTGTGGGTTTTGTCAGGAATTTAATTAATTTATAATCATCGCAAACGCGGTCATGTCACCAGTCATTTAAGGATCCCACTGAAATCGTGACCACAACTTAAAGTGTAAATTATTAAGGTGTATGAAGATGAAACTCTTAAATTGTTTGTATGAAAGCATGCGATTGAGGATAAGATTTTTTATTTTTGTTTTTGTTTTTTAATTTTTGTTTATTGCAGAAGGCGAAGATGGATTTTTCTTTGGGTTGGCGACAGCGCCAGCACATGTTGAGGATAGGCTTGATGATGCTTGGATCCAGTTTGCTGAGGAAAAGTGTGGCGAAGGTGGTGGTGACTCGGAGGGGAAGCAGAGAGCGGATGCTGTGATTGGTTCTGCTTCTGCCGACGGTGGGTCCCAGCAGGCCGTAACATCTCCGCGGGGCAGGAAGCCTCTTAAGGTGGCGATGGAGGCCATGATTAGGGGACTTGAGAAGTACATGGAAGTGGAAGGGCAAGAAGAAGAAGAACCGCGTCCTAATGTAACTGCTTGGCATAATGTTCCACGCCCGTAAGCCCAGAGATAATTGTATTTTGATGTTAATTGCAGCAAGAGATGGATCTTTGACTTCCATGGTTGTTTAGGATGGCTGTGGAAGAAGGGAGTGTAAATATTTCATTCCATGCATATATTCTTTAAGTAATATTTAGAATGAAAGGAATAAAATCATAGGTTATCATCAAAGGTAACCTTCCAATATTTTTTTCAAAAACATGACATAAATCTCTTAATTCAAAATGGAAAAATTTGTTCTCTCTTCCCATTCACTCTAACATATATCCTCCATTACGACCCTACCCCCCTCCAAAAATATATATATAAAAAAAAACTGTAGTTTTATAGCTTAATAGAATTTTAAAAATGCCTGATTTTCAGGGAGGAGAGGTTAAGGTT